AGAGAGAGAGAGGGTGGGAGGGAGGGAGGGCGGGAGGGGAGAGAAACTCTATAAATAATCACATCACACTGTTTTTATCATAGTTTTTAACAAATAATTTATGTCTGTGTGCTATGTCATTAGAATGAATCGTTAAAACAATTTTAATCAAAAATTTAGTAAGTTAGATTTCTAGAATTTACAGATTATCTTCTTTAGGAAGAGAATATCCTATAGGATAGTATTGATATTGTCTTCTTTAAAATATATACATTATAGAATTTGAAATAATATTTTATTTTAGATTTAAATAAGTAAGATATATGTTATATGATTGCCTTGAAAAGCAAACAGCTATAGCGCTTGGATACTATGGTCGCTTTGACTGAAACGATCTTGCTATTGTCCACTAAAATATCGTGACATAAATACCGTAGGCATTAATCGTCACGGCAACATTTGACGCTGCAAGTACGCGCGGAGAAGGGTTAGGTCGGGAGCTAGCATATATTAACCTTTCGTTATATAGTCTGTCAACCCGGGACTGAAAGAAAAAAAAACGACGACGAAGAAGAGTCCCGCTCGCGTAGCCTTCTTGGAATCGCGACTTTCCCTTCTCGTGGGTGGAACAACGGTTGAGATCATCAATCGCGACCATGGATCCTGGCCAAACCTAACTTAGTCGACCAGGATACGTGCCACTTTTGTGGCCTATACTTACGCACGATAATGGACAACCATGATAAAAATGAAATTATCGAAGAGAAAATATTATAATGATCACTAAAGTATAATGTTGTGCGAAAGATTTATTTTATCGGAATCTAATTGGAATCTAAGTGGAATATTAATAATTCTAAAATGACAGGGCGTAGAAAATGATAGAAATTAAAATACTTAAGGCGTAAAGTAAAAATAGAAAATTGGAAGATAATCTACATAAATAATACATAAAAATATTTCTGATGCTAATCTTAATTGTTGCTCAAACAATAAATGTGAAAAAAATCTTTTTATTTATTTTTGTTGTGTCGCCATTTAAAGAGATTGCGGATATAGCAACGTAAGTTTCTAATAAATCATCATTATTTTTCGCAACAGCAACTGGCGGCATTTTTATGAAAATATAGATATCCCATATTAGGCCATAAGGCTTGCGGGTGATAGAACAGAAAGGTAGTATAGGCAAGAACTCGAATAATCCGGGTACCGGATATGTCAAATTTTATCTTCGAGTGCTGATTCACTCCAATACAACAATATATATGCTAAAGTAGAAATTACATAATTATTCTTATATTTGCACATTCTTATAAAATGATTATTGAACATTGAATGACATGAGCCTCGCGAATAATATAAATGATATAATAATTTGATAACAATTAAAGAGAAAATAAATTTTATATATACAGGAAAATGTCACACAATTTTAAAATAGAATAAATATGATTATAATCAAAGAAAGTTAATCAACGGAAGTTTTTGTAAATCTTTGATAGGCAATGCTGCAAAGCGATTGATAACTTGAGATATTCTCAACTAGACTGGCAGTGACATTAGACACATGATGCGCCTTTAACGCAAGATACAAGATCTTGATGTGCATTTCAGCAACTGTAAAAATAACTAGTCATTATAAGTTTATCTAATTATAAATTCTCATTAAATTTAGAATTGTTATTAATTGTTATAAGTTTATCTAATTAAATTTGTAATTAATTACTTAAATAGCTGCATTTAAGTTTAGAAGAAGAACTGCTTTTTAATTATCTTTTTAGATGTCTAATAGAAACTGGAAAATCTCTAATAGAAACAAAAAAGAGCTAGAATTATCTTTGTACATACTATACTTGTCTATAGTTGAAAAAGTAACCGAAGATATTTGAAGACTCTGAAGTAGGTTAAGTAAATCTGTATTTTTACATGCAAAATTCAAATAAATTCAAAAGACTGAAATGTCTTTCCCGTTACACATTTCGTATGCAGGAAAGGATACGCATACGAAAACGATAAACTCCTGAAACGTGAGTGCATATAAAGCCACCGTTCTATATTATACACATGTACATATATAATCGTGAACAGAAAATAAATACGCGAATTATGAATAAACCAAAAACTTGAGAAAAAGATGAATCTGTATATATATCACACAATCAGTCAAATTTGATCTCAATTAAATTGCAATAATTTTACATCCAACATGATGCACCTATCATGAAATTATATCATCGCGTTCGCATGTATTACTTATATTCAACATGCACGCGTGCGCGTGCGCGCGTATATGATGCGGATATTCGTAAGATTCTTTTAAATTATTATCTCATGCAGATTTGAAAATTGCATAAGAATTTCTACTGTTAGTCATTGATCGCTTTCAACTTTCCCTTATATAAAATGGATAATTAATTGAGTTCAGAAGCGATATAGAGAGAGTTATTATAGTTCGTCCACCGCATATGAAAAAGTGAAAGCATATTATGTATATTACTTCATCAAAAAGCAATAGTAATATGTTCAAAAATAACGATAGAAATTCCTCATTGATGAATCTTTTGTTCAAAGAAATGTATACATATATTAATTAAAATTGATACTGTTCTAAAATTTATATTTTAACATGTCATATGAACATAATAAAAATGTGGTTAATATACATTTTATTATAAGCCTAAGCTTAAAACTGATAAATGTTAATAAAAATTGTGTATGTTATACACATAATTGTGTATGTTACACACATAAATTAGTGGAACAAAACGTAAACGTGCATAAATATCGCAAACATTATTTATTTTCAAGTATATAACATACCTCTTCAATCAATAATACATACACAAAACTGCAAGAAATTTTAGATATACGAAATAAAAACTCATTAAATTTTTGTAAAATATATTCTTTCTCTCTTCCTTTTTCTCTTTCATCTTCTCTCTTTTCCTTCCTTTCTTTTCTCTTTTCTCAGATTTAAGTTATAATGTATATTTAAAATACCTTAGACTGCGTGTTACTAGTTGCATAATGTTTGGAAAATTAATACCTAAGAATTGCAAATCGCTCCAACTGTAGAAGCTGGAAATACCAACTATGATATTTCACGATGCGCGCGCTTGCAGATCGCATCAAATACTTAATTCTACCGACTGATATTAAAGGCCAACTGTTTTTAAACACAACTCGATAATTACATCATGCTTCATTGGAAATGTCAGGAGCTTGGACAAAGCAAATTATTGCGATTAACAACTGTTTCTTATTAGTAAAAGAGTCTTTTGCATAAAGCTAACGTAATATCTAACAGTAAACGTAGTTTACGCGAATTTACAAGCATAAACAATTATAGCTTTTTAAGTAAGTATTGAGGAATATCATGCATATGAGATACAAATATCCTTGAATTTTTATTATTTATAATAAAAATTTAAATATTAACTTTTATAATTATTAGAACATTGATAAAATACAGTATCATAGTTTCTGTTAACAGAATATTATTTTTCTTCTACTTTTAATATAAACGCTAATATTTTGCCATATTTATTTTCAGCCACATAATTTATTAAATAAACCATCTTATGAGCTTTCCTTTGATACAGCGCGCATGCTACTATTAATAGTATTTTTAATAAAATTAGATATATTATATTCTATCTTTCTCTACTCTTGTTGTTCTACTACTCTTGTTGTGACCTCTCCTTGTATTTCTGCGACGTGCGTTATTTATACTCTTACGCAGATATACGGGACCTACATTTTAACGCCGGTTCCGAAAGGCGGCAATATTTTAAGAAGAGGTTTTCTTTGCAAAGATACTCTTGATGGTTTGCCGTTGCCTTCCGACAGGCATTACAACATTAGATATAATTTATAAAGACAAGAATTGAAATTAAATAAAGAATGTTAAATAACAATAATAATAATATAAATTCGACTTATCTATGCCTTGCTAAACAATAAAACAAACAATTGTTTTTCAGGTGATTGCTACTTCGACGTCGCAACTCACTCAGGAATTAACAAGCACCAATCGAGATGGCGAAGTAATTTTAAGCATCAGCGATGAACAAAAAATTCAGTATTTGAGCCAAAATTTTGAATCAGGCAAGTCAAAAAATTAATAAATGTTAAAAAAAGTTCAGATATTAGTAAATAGATTCCAATTATAATTGATTATTACACTTTACAGATGCATACAACTATGGTTACGATATCAATCCTCATGGTCAATTCCATCATGAAACACGTGGCCTACATGGGATCACCTACGGATGTTATGGTTACGTAGACCCTTTCGGTCACTTAAAAACAACGTTTTACATTAGTGATGGATGGGGTTATCGCGTTGTTCAGCCAGGGAAGGACGTAGAACTATTCCTTCACAAACATGAACATCATGAGAACGGAGGCAGTCATGATCATCACGAGCATCATGGTGTAATTACACCATGGAGAGAGTTGTACTTTCCTGTAGTGTGTGCACAATACACAAACACGAACGTTCCAGGTCTCGTAATACCAAGTGAAGGAAGTACGTAAATGAGAATATAAAAAGAATAAAGTACATATCATATATGTACGGAGTCTACATTATATCAGTGTTAATACTAATAAATATGTGATCGTTTTCTAAAGTAGCGCCTATCGGAAGTGGGACAACAATCGAAACATTACCAAACCGACCTCCTTACAGGCCTGACTTACCTGGTATAAATTTTAAATATTATACTACATTTCCATTATTAATAATATTTTTAAAATTATATTATAAGATATACATATATGTGTGTGTGTGTGTGTGTGTGTGGGGGGGGGGGGGTGTATGTGTATATATGTATATATTATATTAGATACAATTTTTTTGTAAAAATAACTATCAAAAGTAAATATAAAAAGATATAACATACGTCTAAAAAAGTGGCCTTTACATCTTATATAATTTTCTTCAATAATTTAAATTATTTTGTTTCTTTTATTGTTTGTCACCATTTCTAGGACATCCAGGGATATCTGGCATTCCTGGTACTCCAGGCACACCGGGCAAACCAGGAACGCCGTCATATCCTGGGTATCCGGGAACACCTGGCATCCCTGGTACTCCAGGCACACCGGGCAAACCAGAAACGCCGTCGTATCCTGGGTATCCGGGAACACCTGGCATCCCTGATACTCCCGGCACACCGGGCAAACCAGGAACGCCGTCGTATCCTGGATATCCGGGAACACCTGGCATCCCTGGTACTCCCGGCACACCGGGCAAACCAGGAACGCCGTCGTATCCTGGAGTATCCGGAGACACCTGGCATTCCAGGAATAATTGAATTATATCCGACTCCTGGCATTTCTAGTACGCAGGGTATACCTGGTACTCTGGAAATAGTAGAAAAGCCGGAAATATCATATCCGGGACATATAGGAATTGATAGTACGTCTGGTAATCTCGGTACATCAGAAATATCCGAAATTGTAGAAAAACCAGGTATATCATCATATCCTGGATATCCTTCATATCCCGGAATTACCAGTATACCAAATAAACCAAGCAGTTCTTTCAAACCGGGCAAACCAGGTATGTTATCAAAATTATTTTATTAAGTACACTCGACTTTTATTAAGTACAGCAAAATTAAAGCATCACTTATTCTGATCTCTAAAAATACGCAAATTTCACGAGAGTGTAACTTTGTAAAAAATAATTGTTATAAAATGTTTCGAAAAGCATTTTACAGCTAGAAATCTCTATTTTTAAAATTCATAATTCATTACACGACTTATTTATTTTTTACGAAGCTACATGGATGCAAATGATGATGCATCAAATCTAAAAATTTTTTTTAACATTGCGATGTTCTATGGCGTGAAAAATCACATACAAATGTGACTTACAGAGTTTAAAAGTGTGAATTTTAATTTTTAATTTGCACACTCGATGAGCGTTGTACGATTTTTTAAATTAAGTTATTCAATATAAATAAAAAATGGTATTTTTTACTTCAATGGTGAGTAACTCGGTGAATAAAATCGCGTAATGCTTAATAACTGCGCAAATTAAAGGCAAAGATTCATGCTTTTGAACACTATAAACAGTATTTGTATGTCATTTTTAATTTACGCCATAAAACCTTGCTAAGTTCATGAAAAAGTTATGTCAAATATCAAAATTTTCTCCTAACTTTGCAAAGTTTTATAATCCAAATTCGGAAAAAATTTTCCTTATATCAGTGTATTACTAATAAAGATGTGATCATTTTCTAAAGTAGCGGCTATCGGAAGTGGAACAATAATCGAAACATCACCAAGCCGACCTCCTCACAGGCCTGACTTATCTGGTACAAATTTTAAATATTATATTATATTTCATTATTAATAATATTTTCAAAATTATATTATAAGATATATATATATATATATATCTTATATATATAGATATATATATATATATATATATATGTATGTATATATATGTATATATTATATTAGATAAAATTCTTTTGTAAAAATAACTATCAACTATATAATAAATATAAAAAGACATAACATACATCCGAAAAAGTGGCCTTTACACCTTATATAATTTTCTTCAATAATTTAAATTATTTTATTTCTTTTATTGCTTGTTACCATTTTAGGACAGCCAGAGATATCTGGCATTTCTGGTACTCCAGGCACACCGGGCAAACCAGGAACGCCGTCATATCCTGGGTATCCGGGGACACATGGCATCCCTGGTATTCCCGGCACACCGGGCAAACCAGGAACGCCGTTATATCCTGGATATCCGGGGATACATGACATCCCTGGTACTCCAGGCACACCGGGCAAACCAGGAACGCCGTCGTATCCTGGATATCCGGGAACACATGGCATCCCTGGTACTCCAGGCACACCGGGCAAACCAGGAACGCCGTCATATCCTGGACATCCGGGAACACCTGGCACCCCTGGTACTCCAGGCACACCGGGCAAACCAGGAACGCCGTCGTATCCTGGATATCCGGGACCTCATGGCATCCCTGGTACTCCAGGCACACAGGGCAAACCAGGAAAGCCGTCTTATCCTGAGTATCCGGAGACACCTGGCATTCCAGGAATAATTGAATTATATCCGACTCCTGGCATTTCTAGTACGCAGGGTATACCTGGTACTCTGGAAATAGTAGAAAAGCCGGAAATATCATATCCGGGACATATAGGAATTGGTAGTACGTCTGGTACTCTCGGTACATCAGAAATATCCGAAATTGAAGGAAAACCAGATATATCATCATATCCTGGATATCCTGCATATCCTTTATATCCCGGAATTACCAATATGCCAAATAGACCAAGCAATTCTTTCAAACCGGGCACACCAGGTATGTTATCAAAATTATTTTATTAAGTACACTCGACAGCATAATTAAAGCATCACCTATTTTGATCTAAAACTACGCAAATTTCAAGAGAGTGTAGCTTTGTAAAAAATAATCGTAATAAAATATTCTAAAAGTATTTTACAGCTTAAAGTTTTTATTTTTGAAATTCATAATTAATAAATTTAAACGCTTATTGATTCTTTACGAAGCTATACGGATGCAAATGGAAATGCATCAAATCTAAAAATTTTTTATTAACTTTGCAAAGTTCTATGGCGTGAATTAAAAATCACACAACGCTCATTGAGTACGCAAATTAAAGATAAAGATTCACGCTTTCGAACGCTCAAAATCGCATTTGTATGCGATTTTTAATTCACGGCATAGAACTTCGCAAAGTTAGTAAAAAATTTTTAGATTTGATGCATCTCTATTTGCATTCGTGTAGCTTCGTAAAAAATCAGTATCGTTTAATGAATTATAAATTTTAAAAGTAGAACATTTCACAGCTTCAAGCTGTAAAATGTTTTTTGGAACATTTTATTACGATCATTTTTTACAAACTTATAATACACTCTCTTAAAATTTGCGTATTTTTAGGTATCAAAATAGATGATACTTTAATTTTGCTGTTGAGTGTATTATTGTTGTAATCTTATTTTTAAAATATTAAGTTTAAATTTTGGAATATTGTGTGTATATATTGTTATTTATATTTGCATAAGATTAAATAAATTGTTAATTTCATTATATCTTTTATAGGCTATCCAGGTTATCCTACGTATCCAGAATATACAGAAGATTCAAAGAGTCCAGAAGGACCGATAGGGTCAGTGGGAAATGTAGGTCCAATTGGTGGCATAGGAGGTATCGGTGGTGTTGGCAATGAAGGGAGTATTGGACCTGATGGGCCTGACGGGCCATGGCCAACCGGTTCCCCGGGTCCTAATGGACCATGGCCTGGCGATCCAGATTACATACCTGGAGTAAAACCGACAAGAAAACCTTCCCATAAAGAACCGATAAAATATCACCAGCCTTCATTTGACAGTTATACTGGCAACAACTTGCAATATAATTTTAATAACAGAACTGATTCTTCGTATAGAGACTATGCTCAAAAGGATGTCGAATTATTAAAATTGTCACATCCAACGAAAGTTAACACACCATTATATATAAAGCATAGTCAGTATATACCTCAGTATGAAACCCAATTTACGTCATCGAACTATGGAGAGAAAGAAACCATCTACAATTTAAATAAAATCAATTCACTATTGCAAACAAATCCGACACCGTCATCATTGAAATATGGAATTGGAGATCATCCATACACAGACGTAAATTTGAATTCACAACTTTATGATCACCCGATACATACGGGGCAACAACAAATAAAAAAACCGCTTAAAAATGACTTCAAACAATTTTCTGTACACGATCGAGATCAGTATCAAAAGTCAATAATATTTTATCCATCTTATAACTCGCAACAGCAGTCTCCTAAAGAATCAGATCAATTTAATTTAGAACGACAAGAGGACGCACTTAGTGTAGACGAACAATATAATAATTCTGCCGATGTGGATGGCAAACCGATTTCTAAAGTGTTCTTTCAATCGGATGGACCCCCCTCTGCTCCGGAAAGACAGGTAAATGCACGGCTTGAGCAGATCTTTCGGACGAATCCCGGACTCGATGCTATCGGGGTTCAGCCACCCATCAACGTCAAGCCCTCATCGTTACCTGTAGGGCCAAATTCACAAGCATGCCCCTGTTACTTAGTCGAGCCGAATAACAACACAAACGTAACAACCAGCTCGACTCTCACTTCTGTCATTGGTCAGTTGGGATTCATTCCTGTTATCTTCGTACCATACTGTCCTGGCAACCAGATGGACAGCAATAAGATGAAAATTATGTTCCCGTCCGCGACTCCCGTTCCATATGCATGCGACACATGTGATTCACACGACAGCAAATTCGTTGTAAAAGCGCTCGACATAAATCAACTTGGCAATATCGATTATCTCAAAGAGGCATTAAATCAATCCAATCTTGGCTTTTTGAATGTTCCAGTTAAGACCAATATCGAGCGAAGAAAAACGAAAAGCAGTAAGGCGAAATGAAGAGTGTAACACTAACTTATTAAGCTTAATTTGCGCTCGTTCTAAAAAGACAAACTTATTTTCTCCTGGGGAATAGAAATAAATATAGGATATTGGCATTGCCTGTCCGTCAACTGCTGGTTAGTTAATGGATGGCCAAATTAAAAAGGTGCTTGTAATATTTACCAGAATAACCAAAGTCAATATAGAATACACAAAACTAAAAATTGAATTAATAGCGAATTTTTTCAGTATTGTTAACTCTCTTTGTAAATTAATTCATTTTATATATTTAAAGGACAAATAGTAAGCTGTAAATCCAATTAATTTAAAATAAAAGTATTTAAAGTAGTTTAAAATTTATAAAAAATTTACATTAAATATAAAATTTAAAAGCTCTCTTATATATTATAAATACATATAATCTTCTCAACATTCTGACTTTGAACTCTATAGGTATTTAATTTTTTATCATTAAAAACATTATCTTACATATTATTTACAAAAATTACATTTTTTTAATTAATAGGATTTACAAAATTTATACTAAATTAAATTTATTATAGTTATTCATTCAATATTTAGTTTGATGTAGAATTAAAGAGGGAGACTTTTTGTGAACGCTATTTCTAGATTCTATGCGTTTCAATACCAACCAATATCCTAATATTTATTATTACAATTTGTAATAAATTTCAAATTTTTATCTTAAAATATTTTATATTCGGTTTTCCGAGGCGAGATTAAATAGTACATAGTTATTAATGTATACATTAGATGTGTAGAAATTATTATAATAAAACGTAAAAATATTGTATGTAAATAGTAGTTAACTTTTCATACCTTTTAAATATTTTATAATATTGCTAATTAGCACATCAGTAAACGACATAAATTTTTATTAAATGACATAATTGAATAGTACGGCAATAATTAATAAAAATAATTTTAATAAAAACATACACACAAAAATAACAAATAATTCAAATTAAAAGTGAATGATAAATTAAATATTAAGTAAAAAATTAAATGTAATAACTAAATAAAAATAATATTATAAATAGAGAAATATAAGGAATAAGAAAAATATTGTAAACAATATAATTTTAATATGTAATTATCAGATTTTTATTTCAATATATGTTTTATATTATAAAATTAAATTATAATTTTTCTTTTGTATGTGTTACATCCAAGGATATGTTATACTGCAGTTTTTTTATACATATTCCAACAAATCTTAAAAATATTAACAATTAATCGTTTATTATTAAAAAGTAGGTTTATATGTTAACACAAACATATTAATTTATAAAGACATTTTTAATTGTAATATTTGTAATATTACGTGAAAACATAAACAAAGTCTATGAATAGCCACGATAACCAGTTGGATTACTAAGGGACGTGCCATAACTATCGCTGCGATAACTATATGGATAATATGGACTCCTTGCTGCATACGTTGAGCCATATGCGTTTCCTGCGTAACCATCGTATCCACTGTAACCACGTCCGTATCCTAAATCGTCGTAACCTCCATAGCCTCCATAACCCCCATAACCCCCATAACCCCCATAACCCCCATAGCCTCCATAACCTCCGTATCCACCAGGATAATTTCCTCTTCCATAACCCGTATAACCATAACCATCCCCTCCATATCCTCGATAACCTCCATATCCACTATATCCAGGATAATTTCCATAATATCCATATCTGCAATAAAAAAATTTTATTTTTTCCCTTATTATATTGCATTTAATTAGATGCATCGCGTAAATATACCTTGTCCTTCTTTATTTTTTTTTTTACTATTTTTTAAATTTATTCTTTTATGCAAATAACTTTTATTTTGTCTTATTTATTTATATTCTTTTTGTTTGCTTTTTGAAAATACGAAAACTTGTAAAAATATAATAATATACATTAATTAATATTAATACTTTAAATAAACACGTAGTATAGTAGATTTAATATTTAATGAGTATTGAGTTTAAAGTATGTACTCATATTTTAAAGTAAATACTATTTTTCTTTTCTAAATATCATTCTATATATAATGCGATAAAATCTTACCCAACCTGGCCGCTACCAGTTAGTCCACCTGGTCCATATCCATAACCCCTATATCCTGGAGTCAAGCTACCGCGATAACCGTAACCGGATCCAATGAGTCCCGTATCATACGGATATCCTCCAATTGATCCAGGAGGATAGCCTCCAATTGATCCAGGATATCCTTTATTTATATGAAACGCTAACACAAATATTTTTACATGAATAAATTATACAATACCTATTATTGAAATCAAGGTTCAATCAATTTTATAAAAATTAGAGTTTTTAAAGAAGACTTTATGATCTAAAATTTAGAAGTTTGTAATTTTTAAATTTTTGACCTTAAGAACATGTCTTAAAAAGTAAAATAAAAATTCGAAAAAATAATGAGATGCACGCAGACATAAAAGCATTCGGTATGAGGCGAGCAAATATTTTAGAAAAATATCTAACATTTTTTTTACAAGTAAATTATTTTTTGACTGGTTTTGGATCTTTCAGATGTGAAAAAAGCTATTATTACAAAAATATTTGACTCTCTTTTATTGTTTGTTTAGTAATGCATGGAGGACGCATTTGAAATGTATTTGAGATTTAAAATAATAAAAAAACAGAAATTAATCGTAAATGTTTAGCTAAAAGAATTGTAAAAGGGTGATTTTATAAGAAAAATAGATGTACCTAAGAAAATTAATACTTTACAGAATATTGAAATCAATGCAACTTGAAAACACCATTTTTATTTTTTCCATTATTCATTTTCTATCAATTTTTAATTCGATAAGTACAATATTAATTTCCAAAACTTGTAAAAATTGAAACTATTCGAAATGAAACATTAAATTGTGACTTATTGTTAGAATTTAAGTTTTTTAAAGAATGCTTACGTGGCAAATCATTTTTTTTTTCATTAATTGATAGTGTTTATAAAAATGAAATAATTATGTTCGCCATGCGTTTTTGTTAAGAATTGATTACAAGTTATGGAAATTAAAACACGCACTTCAAGTATACGGAAGTTACGTGCACAGAATAAAGTTGTGAACGTAATAGGTATAATAATCGATCGCGATTCGTATCCCGCACAATGTAAGATAGTAGTGCGATGAGTAATCAGCATATTAAGTAAGTGTGTCACTGCCATTCTCACGCTCTGACTTTGAAAGTCGGGCGCTTCCCATTACGAAAACGGAAAAAAAACATCATCGCTGGTTGTAATAAGATGCTGATATAACGAGGCACCCGAAGGACTTCCTCTCGGGAAGAAATATATAGAGATGATTCACGATTAAGCGTCAAAGAAAATACTTCAGTATGCGTTTGTCGTACGTATGTACATACATACTTCCGCAGTACACTTTGTGCGACTCTCAAAAGTTTCGAACGCGAACGTACCGTGTTTTCGTAAGTTACAGAATAATTAACGTAATCATGTATGGAATCATGTCCACATACAATAAAATCCTATTACGTTACGCAACGAAGGTGCCATTAAATTGTCATATCAAAAAAGCGCTTGCTCGTATAAGTCATGCGCTAGCGGTCTCCTTGAATCACTCTGCGTTTAATCGTTTATCATTGCAAGCGGAACTATTCCTTCTTTTTATTCATAAACAAAAATAAGTCCATAGTTCATAAATATAATAATAAGAGTAGGAATAAATGAGTAATGATATCAGCTAATAAATGTCGTAATTATCATAAATCATATTAGGTATGCGTAACTCAAATAGCACAACAGAGGGTGAAAAAGAATTCATTCGTATATTTGTATGTCATCAATTCTAAGTTTATTTTCAAGTGTAAAAAGAATTCTTTTTCTGAACTTTTAGAAAAAAAATTCCTTTTTACATCTGAAAGTTAACTCATTATCAGAATTGATGACATACGACTGAAAATTCTTTTCTGAGCTTTCTATGCTCTGGAAAATGTTGATGAAATATATATACGTTATATACTTATATGATTAAAATATTGTTATTCTCTTACTTCGATCGCTCGCGGATGCAACCAAATCTCCTTGATTACGTGCATTATCCGGATATACACCCTGTGGACTGTTTATCGGCGTTAGTTTTGTGAGCACTTTTAATTCATCTGGAGATTCATCCGCGCTCCGGCAAATCGCAATTAAACTGAAAGTCGATATCTGTGGAAACATACATAGTAATCATGTAGTACACTAGAGTGAGACTAGACACACATGACACACAAATTTAAAAACCTTATAAGCATAACATTAAATTTATATGAATAAATAAAATTGAATATAAATTCTTATAATTTCTTATATTATTAATATAACAGTATGTATTAATAATTTAAGTTATTTAATATATTCATTATTACATATATATATGATATATTTATTATATATATTAACCTATTAAAAATTTATTATATATACATACATATATCTTACGTATCTATACATAAACATATATTTAATATTAAAAATTAAAATTAAGAAAATTATAAATCTCATCAATGAATAAAAAATTAGTTGAAAGTAAGCTGGCGCTTAATGTTTGGCAATTTAATTTACAATTGCCCAATATACTCTTAAATATGGAAAGTGTTAGAAAAAGCATTGAGAAAGATTTAATATTTTAATAATGCTTATAATCGGATTTAGCAAAAAAAAGATACCTAATTTACTTACAACAAAGAACAACTTCATGTTGCTTATGTCACTACTTGCATTTTTCGGAGAAACACAGTGTTCGAGACACGGATAGATAATCTGTTCTCATACCGGCAAAACCTCTATATATCCTCTCCTGTAACATGTCAATATGCCCCTCTTCATACTTCAAGGTGGTCGCGGTTGTTTGAGCTTAGGTTGCTCTTAGGAGCCGCGCTGACAAGGACGTTGACAAGAATCGGTAAGACACGCCCAAAGGTATGGAAACTATCTTTCCGCTTTACATTTTTCCGTTCAAATATACACACACAATAGTTTCTGAGGTATTGGACGGTTGTTATATAAGTATCTCGCAAGTTCTCATGTCTATATGTTGGAGTCAGAGCATTTTGCAATAGTGGTCTTTTTCCCAAGAAAATTATAACTACAGATGAAAAGAGCAGTCTCTCTTTGTTGCTTTTCAATTACCTTTATTTGTAATTTTACAGTTTCTTTTTGTTTCATTATCTATTCATTACATTTAAGAAAAAAGCAATAAATGAAACATATCTTTATTCTAATCTCGCTTTAGTATAGAATATATTGAAAATTTTTATTATTGAAATTTAATGTCGAAAAATAAAATTATAAAGAAGTATCCGATCTGCTCTCGAATTTGTCGAAATTATTAACTCTACGTTATTCAAAGAATTTACTCTAATTTCTTTTAATCCCTTATATTGGAATATTTAAAAAGAATTTTTATTTGTTTCTTTTCTTAACACATTTTATATATTATTTTATGTACTAGAAACGTTGTTTTTATTACATCATTATTTATTATATTATTTTGTCCTTTTGTGTTTATTAAAGAGATTAATTTTTCTTTATCATACAATTTATTTTCAATATTGAAGTTTATATAAAGTTCCGGCAATATTTTATAAACTCTCTCTAAAATGTTTCCTTATCTTGCATTTCTTCAATTATTTTTTGGCAAAAATTATCCAAAATATCTGACTCTTAATTTTAAAATAATACTAAACAATAAAATAGGCACTATGAGTCAAAACGCAGGAATTAATGCGTAAAAATTGTTACATCAATTTATTTAATATTTTACATCGTACATTTCGGGCTTTCTTCAGTGATAAGTAATAATTTAGTAACCCCCGCTAATAGACAACGCAATAATTAAATAATTCCGCTAATCATTCCGTTGATAATCGTTGATATATAGTTCCACAATGTGTGAGTTGGATTTCCAATTTCAAGATTGCAAGTAATTCATTCATTGTATTATAGAAACAGAGATGCTAATGGATTATTAAAATGATGGATTGAAGTTTTGTCGTAAAATGACGTAAAATAACAGGACTAGTCTTAATACGTCTGTTGTCAATTATGAAATGATATTCATTTATTCGTCAGGACGAATATCATTTCAAAGTTGACAACAGACGTATTAAGATTAGTCCTGTTATTTTACGACAAAACTTCAATCCGTCATTTTAATAATCCATTAGCATCTTGTATGTTTCTGCAATAAATGAATTATTTGCAATCTTGAAATTGGAAGGCCAACTAACGCATTGGGAACTGTATATATCAACGATTATTAGCGGAAAGATTTAATTTTATTGCGTTGTCTATTAGCGGGAGTTATTAAATTATTATTTATCGCTGAAGAAAGCCCGAATAAGGCCGAAATGTAAAATATTTAATAAGTCGATGCAACAATTTTTACGCATCAACTTCTGCGTTTTGGCGCATAGTGCCTATATATTTTATTGATTAGTATTATTTAATTATTTTTAGAATTTCAATTTTGCTAATTTCAAGAAGAGAATTTGTTATTCTATACTTGCGTACTAGAATTTGTTATTCTATACTAGCGTACTATACTTTTCTTTAGAGATGTGTCACTCTTACGCAAAACGCATACAAATCGTAAATGCAAAAAACAGCCGGAACTTTCGCAATAATCTGAAAGACAACAAACTTTCTCTTCCCGGAAACTTTATCAGCACCTATGTGTCCATCCTAATTTCGTATTGTGCATATATGCACTCTTGCTAAAAAGAGCAAACAATATTTCCTAATCAGAGAACAGTCATCAGTTTTTTTTTTTCATAAAGTTAATTTATTGCTATAATATTGTATTAATTCATTCCTATTTTTAATTCATTTGTTATTTCATCACTTTTTATTTTAGCATAATTTAATTTAAGAACAAGACACATAGTACATATATGTATATGAATAGGATATTTTGATTGTTTTACGAAAATGATAATAAAGAAATCAATGTATACTATAACTTACAAACTTTTAGTATCGTAATGTTTATTTTTGTTTTAATATTATCAAATTTCTATTATTTAAAATATATATATATATAATACTGTGTATATATTTTAAAACAAAGAATGAAAAGTAAAAGTGAATTGATCAATTTACATGCTGTAAGAAAATCGCGGAAAATCTTAGAAAATGCACCGTCATAAATTCAAACAATTTTTAATAAAAAATCATCGACATTTAGGTTACTTTAATACAAGCAACACGCGCGTGCGTGTGTTCACGCACGATTCTTCAGTTTCGGCTGCGTCAGCCAAAGGAAAGGCCGTAAAATTGGTGTCGCAAGTAGTTCAAGATCGCGCGACGCGTAACGCCGCGACTCGCTTCGGGGAATCTGGAAATGACCGTGCTCGGATTACACGGCGATTAATAGACTCGCGTGTCACGAAGCAATAACGCATAACGCCCCTTCGTTCCCACGCGCCGCAATTGCGCGACCGTACGCGTGCTCTTTAAATTGAATGTGATCTGACAATGTATGAGAGACCAGGAAACTACTTGCACTATTTTTTTTTCGATGATTTTTAAAAGACTTATGACCTTGCGTTTTTTGGCAAAAATAAAAAATACTAGACTTAAATGAAATTTTAAAACACAATGCTTAGACAATCGGTGATTGAGCCGCTAAATGTTTTAAATTAACTATGAAGAAATTTATATTTTTCTACTTTTTACAAATTTATTTATTATAGCAATAATATTGTATGTATAAAGTATTGAATTAAATTTGTTTTTGTATTAATAAACTGCATAGATATTAAATTGATTTGAACGTTTTGGCATCAAAATTAATTTGAAATTGGCGGATGATATTCAAACTCTAAGTCTCACGAGTAACTCTAGATTAGACGCGTTAAAAAAAAGATAAAAAATAAATCCATAGGTTTTAATATAACGATCACGCCAGTTTCTATGGGCAGCGATATTGAAATAGTCTTAGATTGTCTATCAGCAGGTATTGTCAATATACAAATCAAATATACTATTAGTAATGACGCTGTACTAATATCAGAACCCGTATCAGCTTGACTTAACTCTTGATTAGAAAGTTTATAATGAAATATTTGATAAGAAAATATTTCCAATGGGAATAATTTCATTTTTCGCGTAGTAAACATTTAGATGGGGCTTCCGAAAATTTCTCGCAAGTATATGTATGTAATAATATTACGTGTCTAATTCGTGCATATTTAGGGGGAATAAAGTAAAATAGGAAGGATATTATTCTAAACTTTATTAAGGTAACAATACACCTCGGCAAAACTTATATTATAAACCGAACTGTGATGTTGAGCAAGAATATAGCTATGCGAGCGACGAATAATGACTTCTTCAAATCTCGAAGTATGTTTTCACTTTCTAAAAAGAACGAGACGTTCTTCGGGAACAATTAATTATCAGCGGTTAAAATGTTTAAAGCTACAAAACTTTCACTAGTGCTCAAGGTTTTCAACATAACAGGTGATTTCAGTCAGACGTGGGAAGATATAAGGACGAATGTCAGCAGATGCAGTTAACACAAGTTGCAAGACAAGAGGTTTCTATTATATTGGGACGCTGCATTAGGCATCGTTCGTTACAAGGACGTCGTCTGATGAAAAAGACTTTCAGGAGGTTTTAAAAATATTAGAAATCTCAAAACCCTAAGATAAACGTTGCAACACGCGACACACATTCTGCATACATCTACAACTTTTTTTTTAACACCTTTGATATTTTCATGGGCGATCCTTTGGTGAGATCTTAAGAATTGCAATCGATATCAAAAATACCGACGTAGATAATACTTTGTGTTTCTTTTTTATTTCGATATACAACCATCAACATAATTATGAATTTATGTTAAACAAAACATAATAGAATTTGTACAATTGAATAATAGGCAAAGAAAACCCACTCGTTCCAATACGAAATCCATGTCTATTATTCACTGAAAAATCTATAACATCACAAAAAAACCTCGTCGATCTCATTGTAATTTGTTCGAGAGTTCATTCGCACGATAGCGGGGGAAATTAACCCGCACTCATACTTTCACATTCATCAAATGATAGCGTCGTCATTAATCATAATGCAATATATGCACCGACGGTCATGTTGATGCCTTAAGTATATAAATTAAGGCGTTTGTTAGAGAAATATATGTGGAAATGCATGTGCACTCCTTAAATTCGCGATTTAAGGTAATAGTCAGATATCCCTCTCCTTATCACTCTCGACGAGCTACCGATCGCGCGCAACTAAGACGTGAGACTATCTGCCTCGGGAACGATCGTGTATAATGAAGGTCATGATCATAAATATATAATTTTATACAATTATAATTTTTATAATGCAAGTTAATGTGTTAGTACGCAAAAGGTGCCAAGGAAGTACAATGATTCTTAATTTTCGACGCGTCCGGCAGCTCGTTTATTTTGAGACGCGAGCGACAAGAGGGACACGGTGGGCGTCGACAGGTGAAAAGTCAGGCCAAAAGTTGCATCTGAATGCGACCGATTGTTTTAGAGCGTTAATTAGTAACCCTGTGTATGTATAGTAAAGTACTGAAAACCTGCATCTACAAAGTTCGAGACTATGTTGAGTATACCAAGTTGAAACGTGAGCCTTATTCTATTTCAAGATGCAGAGAGTGAGAGACCTTGTAAATGCAGGCCTGGGAAAACTTCTTTTTCTTTTTTTGCGTTTTTAATTAAATGCAAATGCAAATCGAGACATTTTCTCACGAATTAATTCTCATGAATGCCAATATATAATTTCTTATATATCCAATATAATAAATTCTTATTTTTCATACGTAATTTCATACGTAATTTGAATTATTTACACACTTTCGCAGTATTTTAATGTATTGCTGAAGTGTCAAGAGATTTATATTAAGAATATTAAAAAGCTACAGAAGATGACGTGTGATTAAATTTTAATCAGAAAAAAAAATCTGATTGACCAAAAAAATAAACGTTCGCAAACATAATTGTCGGATATTCCATGTAGTTGCAACAATTACGTAAACGACAGTTAGTACTGAATGCAGTATGAGTACGAATCGTTATATTTAAAGATGACTTTATGCATTGATTTTCATGCAAGGTTGAAAAGCTAACTCCGTTAAAACCGGCGTTTTGTACTAAAAAAAAATAACAATCATTATTACAATTATTATAGTATAAACTATATAATTGTAAATTGATAATACTGAAGAGTGTTTTTTTTTTTTAATTAACGTTCTTTTACGCACGACCGATTGAATGCTGTGGCATTTACGAAAAGTTTCGACAATAAAAATACTGCTCGTGAGAATAGCGAAGAAATAAATGTGAAAATCTTCGCTGATTAGTGTAAATTAGGTAATTTGCGAAAAGAGTAGAATAGAAACATTCGCAATATTCATCTAGTCTACTCTGCTTGATTATTAAGCCCTTTGGCCAATCATTGCAATCATACTGGACATAATAAACAATCATACAGAAATATATTTATTTCATTGTTTATCAAAGTTATTTTTTTCCTTACAAGAATTTACGTATATTTTACAATATAAATATATAATAATAACAATTATTTGATAAGATAATTAAATATGATTGCAGTGACAGGCTGAGAATCGTAAAGTCCATGTCAAATCAGGCACTGAAGATCGAGGATTTGAATTGGAGATAAAAATTTTTCCAAAAGATAACTTTAATCTTAGTCCGCTTTGTTCTGATTGTTTCCGATTGGTCAAACTCTAATCTCCATCTCGTTACGATTCTTAATCTGCATTGCCGTGATCTGATATGAGTTTAAGAAAGATTTTCCGGCGTGAGAAATCATTAATTTAATTCCCAAACACAGTCAAAAGGTGGGAATTCCAAACGTGATACTTTGAAATATCAGATTATATGTATATGTATATCACTCATCGTACATGGTATATACTTTTCCGAGTGCGGCACGACATACGAATGATCCTCGTTATCCCTATAAACGTTAACATGCTTCGCAAATTAAGTAGACAAACGTGTGATTGAGTTAAGTATTAAATAGTATGCAAGTTTCTCTGATTTTTGAGTGCAGATTAATTGTCTTCGGTAGTTTTTACTTGCTTATCGAACATCTTGAAAATATTCGACACTATTCGCTGTTAGATGTGATCAAACGATGACAAGTTATTCAATGAACAACGTAATGGCTCGCGTAGACGCCTTCCAGACTGGCTGAAATCACGAAAGCCAGATTGTCCCCTAGCATAGAAGAAAACAGACCCCGAATAGGCTGGATCTTGATTAATATTAGGATGTCGAAGCGTCATAAGTCTGGAAATCTGCAAAGCAATTGTTAATGATTAGTAAAAAAAAAGTGACGTTTATAGTGTGAGTGTTGCAAAATGATGTGAAAAGTACTTGCACGGACGAGTACGTATATGTACAATGTTAAATTACATCTTACACAACTATATTTTTATTATTTTTAGGACATAAATTGTTTGTTTTAGATTTACTTTCGTGAATATAAAAAATTAATCCGTTAAGTGTTGCAGTCAGTAGAAACCTATACAAAAACGTGCCAAGCAAGCACAACGAATCCATTGTGGCATTCGATTTTTGTTACAACTGTCAAAAGTTAATTAGTCGAAATAGGAATAATTTTAATTTTTGGTCTATTAGTTCTTAACTTAATTAATATAATTTAATTGAACTATATTGTTTGTTAACGCGGCAAAAAGTTTTTCTTGTTAAAATGACAGCAAATACGACATAATTTTTTTTATCCTCGAAGTTTATCCTCGAACACATGACGCGGTATGAAGAACCATCATCATAGTTAGGTACGCACCGTAACCTCTGAAACGTATTATTGTGCTTCAGGCTTAAGATAATATGCAAAATAAAACTTTCAATAAATAAATTTTATTCGCGTTCTCGAAAGAAATAAAAAAAATCACTGTATATTTTATAGATTTCTTTTAGATAATCTTCATTTGCATCAAACAAAATAAAACTTTTTTAAGATATTTATAAGAAAATGTATGTATAAGAAAATATATAAAACGATGAATTTTACAAAAACTGTAAACTAGGATTATACCCATTTTTTTTTTGACAATCTATAAAATAATACAGTGTGCCTTATCCGTTTTGTCAAAAGTAAATTTACCTCATTGGGTCTTCGAAGTAGTCTGATGGCACTTGAAACAATTCTGGATCTATGTCGTTTCGGAAGGCAAACTCTTGAAAAGTTATTTTAGCAGTGACTGTAGGCAGAATCGGTATGTCGATCTTAACTGGGAATCCAGGGGGCAACTTCATAAGTACGAATTGGCGTAGCTTGCTTAGATGCTTAAACGGCGTAATCACTTCCAGAACATTGAGTAGCATGTCGACGGTGAGGGGAAAATCTGGGCTCATTGCCACAGTGGCCTTGAAAGATTTACTACTTTCCTTGTAGACAAGGTTTCTTCCTAGAAGCGGACACTGACCGATCGGCGCAACGACGTATTCGTCCCACGTTATATTCGACTCTGGTGGCGGATTCAACGATGCTCTTCTCATAGGAGGCTAAGAGTAAATAAAATATATTTATTTTATTTACCTTACATAAAGATACTTTGACTAGACTTTAACATATAGGTGCGTATATCTTAATATATAACATATTCTGTGTTTATCTTTCGTATATAATATTTATGAGAAAAGTAAGACATGAGTGTCTATAAGTGAATATATGTATAATTTAATTCGTACGCTTCTTACATTTCTAAATCACTTTTGAGAAAATTTCTTTGTAATAATTGATAAAAATTTATAGCTTCAATGTATTCTATCAATTTATATTTTTAAACGTACGCAACGGCTCGCGAAAGAAATAATTTATTTTAAATATTGCAAGGAAATATTTGCACATTTCTTGTGTTTCGTAATTTAACACGGTTGCAAAGAAACAGAAGCCTTGAAACGACAATAAATTTTACGTTATAATTCTCACCTCGCCATTTTTAAATCCTTGAGAGCTGCCTTTAGTAAGGGATTCCATAATAGCTTTATTTTTTTGAAGATCTTCCTCACTTAAGTGCTCACGACGTTTTCTACTTTCCAACACCATGCCATTGATTTGATAAAAATCAGCGTGGAATGCGCCTACCATTTCCTAGTTTTAAACATTTACTTCAGTATCGATTTAAAATATTCTACCGTATCATTTTTAAGTCAATTTTGATTATAAAATATCTTGATTATAAGATTATAAAATATCTCAGAATTGATTTAATAATGTTTAACAAATTCTAAAGAATTCAGAGGAAACATAATTGATATGGAACATTTTTATAATATTGCATATAACGTAACCGCATTACATAATTTATCAGTATAATTTATTGGTACAATAGAAACATGCTCACCCTTTTGTCCTCCCTAAAAATCCACCCTGTCTGTGCTCTAGAAAACGTGATACTTTTGGTAGACATTTGCGCTGCCATAATATCACTAGACATAAGAATATCAACTTCATCCTCTATCTCAAGCTCTGTTTCCTAAAGTACATACAAAAAAAAAGATTATTTCAATATAATATTGAATGTTAATAAATAATCTAAGTTAATTATATTAACATGATATAATAAGTAAAAAAGCTAATATAATAGCTGTCTAGATTTGGTATTGTACTGTCTCTGGACTGTACAATATGTACTGTCATACAAATTGTACTGTCTTTGGACTGTCTCAACATAAAATAATAGTCCGAGATTAACCATACTTATTAATTACTACGTGTGTTAAGAACGTCTATTAAAGTTCTGGAGTATTTTTTACTATATACAAAAAATAAAATTTGTACATATAAAATTTTTTGCGTACTATACATGCAAAAGCGTATATGTAAAAGAAAATGGATGGATTTAAATAGACTGTTAACCTCATATCTCACTCTTTGGAAAAGTTTGGCTTTATTGTCGAGGACAGTCAATGAATGGCTAGGCTTTTGGTCACCATTGAAGATGAAAGATATGTCACCCCTCTCCCACCTCATGTCATTAAAGTCTACAAGAGTCGTGTCCATCCTAATTGAAGCCCCACTTTTATGGATCTTACATATATCTGACGGTAACACTCTCGAGACTAGCGGTACTGAAAGAACAAACGAAATTGTCATTGACGGATAGAGGAGAAATATAACGAATTATACAATATAAAAAATTCCGTTAGAGTCGCTTTTATTAAAAAATATTCTTTTGTTGCAAAAAAATTGATATCATATTTATTGATATCAAACGATATTCGAGATTAATGAACTGATATTCTGATTGTTGCTAATTATCTTTTAGAGTATATACTGATAAACAACGTAATAATGCAATGGAAATAATCGCGGAATTAAAGATCGAAAAAACAGCGCATAAAACTTACCCCAACTCTGAAAATCCCATTTTAACTCCATATAAAAATCACCCATTTGATGCAACGCAGCAACTAAATTCGGCCTCCTTTCCTCCATTTGCTCTCTCGCTTGTTGCTTCAATTTACGTACTAAAGATGATACTGCAATAAAAATTATAAATGTCATGACTTGGTCTTACGTAATAATAGAATCATACGGAACATGTCATTTCTATTGAATCATCTTCATATTCACGTTCTAACTTATAACGCATAGAAAACCGGAATTAGTACTCTGTATTAGGAATCTGTCTCCAATTTATCCGAATAATTTCTACTCTCAGCTAATTTTGTTTTCTAACCAATTGTAGAAATAAAGTACTCTGTGTGAACATAATGTTACATAAATACACAATAAAGGTGCAAATTCATGAGACGCTCGTTTTAGCGTTAAAGCCATGGCACACAGAAAAACTTAAGCAGTAAGACGTAAGCAGTAAAGAAATCAACATGTTAGATTTTTGATAATCACATGACTTCGACTTTGACGCTAGCGTCAAAAAAAGAAGCTGGATTTTCTCAGCTTCGGCGTCAAAGACTGTTGTTTTGTTCTGAACATTTTGGATACAAATGATACAATTGACGTTAAACTTGATATTGCCGCTTTTCGTGTAAACCAACTATGATATATATCACGTAATTTTGACGTCAAAAATGAGCGTCGAGCGTCAGCATGAAAAGGCACCTTAAAATGCACAAAGTATAAATTTAATTCAAGGAAAGTATTAAAACTTGAATCTCTCTCAAGTCCTATTATATTGATAATTTAATTATCAAAATATGTATCGTACTAAATCTATATATCTGCATATACATATATATTATTTTATTTTATACGAACTGGTTTGTCTATCTCCGTAACTGATTGCTTCAGCCAATGGACTCCAACCAGCTAGATTCTTCACCTTTACAGGTGCTCCGTGTGCAAGCAGTAATTGAACACATTCTGCAACGTAACAAAATAAGATATGAAGGAATCGAATATACTTTAATTTAAAAATTACCTTTAATATATTTTATATATTTTTATATTTTTATATTTATATATTATTTATATATTTTTATATATTTTTATATTTTATCAATCTTAATAGTTTAAGTTTTGCAAACGAGTGATCTGTTATCAATTTGTACAGTATCACGTCTTTAACATCCAACAGATGGAATAAAGTATTTTTTTTTAATATCTTAAAAATACTCTAATGCAATGAAGTAAAACAAAAATAGCCGTACCTTTTCTTCCTAACATCACAGCTAAATGCAAAGGGGTGTTTCCTGTAACAGAAGAAAAATAAATACGAGAGATTAAAACGAGATTCACATCTCTCGTCCTCGCAAAGAGTTCGATGATTCTGATCGTCCTTATTCGTCCTTATTCACACGAATAAGAGGAATAGGTATATCAAGAGCACATTTGGAGTCGTGCTCCAAATCAAAAGTTAAAAGGCTCACCTTGTTTATCCTTTTCGGTAATGTCGTGCGTTCTGATCAAGATGTTCAGCGTCTTCACGTCCCCTTGAAAGATACACCTGTGAAGCGGATACTTCTCGCTCTCCTGCGCCATGATCATCGGCATCCGAGATCCCGTGGTCGTGGACGTTCACAACGACGGTGGAAGAACCTCCGACCTCGACGAGCCTCGACGTTCCGTAATACAGCAGCACGTGCCACGCGTGACATCGACGCGGAGCATCGTCGTCGTGGTCACGTTACACGGTCGACCCGCGTGACGTTCACAGGCGTCGCGGTGCACCACCTCCGGCTAGCACGCGACTCGGCATGTTTTGACGTACGTTTGTTGACACCTTTACGTAATTGTCATTGCTCCTCTTCCTCGCCCCCTTTCCGTATCTTATATCTACCCTTATCGACACTTCCTTGTGCAAAACGATAATGCTAAGCTCGCGAGTTCGAACCTCGGCGCCTCCGTGGGACTCGCATTCAACATTATGCGACCGTTGCTCCGCGCGAAATACTTCCTCTTCCTCCTGAATTGAACGGCTCTCAGGCTCCCGTTAGCTTCCGTATAGACCTGCAGTGTGATACAGCCGAACGCAAAATACGTACGTGTGTGTATGTGTGCGTACGTGTAGATGTGTGTGGACTTTAAGGCCTAACCGCTCTTTCTCCTAGGCAGGCAGGATATCAACTTGGGCAGCGTATACTCGCAGCTGGAGCAAACTGGAGCAGCGGAGTCGCTGCGACGGACGGGCTCCCGATGACAGACGGGAGAGATCGTAATTTAAAGCTCAACTCCTCGTGGTGCGACACCCCGCGAGTTATGCTCGCTCGCGCTGACGGCGCGCTCCGTCTCGTGGGACGCGCTCGGAAAACGGAGCAATTGTGCAACCGAGATCGAGGTCGACGAGCGTACGCACGCTATACGAGAAACGATCGACCGCGGAAGGTGTTCGTCTCATAATATGGCGTTTAACTCGCACCGAACACACAACGCGCGACACGCTCGACGATTAGAGGCGCGCTCGATGAACATTCGGGCGCGCGCGGTTAGCGAGTGATCACTGCATCTGCATCCTCCTCCGCACGCGCACGAGAATGTTTCTTAATGCCTGCGGATAGGATAGGGGGCCTGTAACCGGCATTTGCATTTGTGACCTCGGGGGTGCAAAAATTCACGTTCAATATCCGCGCCGCCTACACTCATTTTAAAATAGGCGACACGGCAGCCGCGCTCGTGCGGATGAAGCTTAGCCGATATGTTGGCTGGTGAAATTTTTTTTTTAGAATTATCCAAATAATTTTTCAGAATTTTTCGATAATTTTATAGTTTTTTAGAATATTTCTCAAATTCTTTCATACGAATCGACATTTTTCATAAGCGCTGAGAAATTCTACGAGAAAATCTCTTTTTTATAGAATACTTTATGTATGAATTTTTAAATATTCTAAAATATCTAACAATAAAATTTCCTATTCTGTAAATTTTCTAAGAAAACTTAACATTGAAGAGATTTTTTCTTAAAAATATTTTAATTTTAAAATACAAAAAATTCTCAAGTATATTACAAGCAGAGAGAAAACCTGAGACATGACGGCCTCTTGCATGTTACCTCAAAATGCCCTTGTGCACTAATGCCCCCTAAAGAAGTGGCTGTAAACTACATAGCAACATTTAGTTTTTTGCACCGCGGGTATATAATTTAATTGTGGTGCGTGTCCGTGCTACATCCACCTTTTGAGACTGCTGGGGCTTTATTTTCGAAAAATTGCGCATTCGAAAATCATGTCCTCTCTCAGATTACGGATATTTCCGGCGAATAATACAATTTTCGATTTTGTTCCATGTCAAGTATATTGTTTGGATCTATTCCGTGTTATGTGTACAAAATATAACTATTTAATAATAATGATAAGTTATCTTGGATATTTGTTGATTGAAGTTTAAATTGAAAAAATATAGATCTTTTTAAAAGCAATTTTATACTGGCACTTCTTTTTCATTTATTATATTATATTATATTACTTAAACTTCCAATTTTTTTATACGAACAATATATTTTCAATTTAAGAATTCAAAATTTAATAAAAACGCGAGCTCGAAGTAAAACACGAAAAACGTACGTGTTTATATGTACAATAAAAAAATGTAAGAATATTTTGTATGTGTGCATATGTATGAAAGAGATGTGTATTTTCATTAAACGGAAATTAAATCTTAACTATTATATATCAAAGAATACTTTAAATTACCTATCTAGCTTATCCTAATCTTCAGTCAATCACAGCGGCTTTCTGAAATGTCGAATCTGTGGCCTTTTAAATTAATTATAATACCAAAAATAAAATATCTTTTTAAATTCTAATGGAAGTTTATAAAATTAAAAAAATAATCTCTATAATTTTAATGACCCGAGATATTTGAGAGAAATATATGATTTTTTTTAAATACCTTAGGATGTATATCTATATGGTGTTGATGAATGCTCTATATTAAATACGAAATTACCCAATCCCCGCTCATGAACTTTCTATTAATTTCCAGTTATGTCAAAAGTGCGAGGCTACGCGCGATTGAGCGCACGGTTACCCAGCCGGTTGCCCATTATGACATGCAAAAAAATGACACCTAGATTTGTAAGAGTATATACATGTATACATATTATGAAATTGGATTGACTAAGGCCGGTATTCATATAATCGGTTCTTATTTCAAGATCGTCTTAAAAGTAAGATTGCCTTATGTTAAGTAATGTCTCTTAAGATGCTCTGCCAGGTAGAATATAGAAGCGAATGATGTCACAATGATGTCAATTCGTACATTATTTGTGCTACATTATTAGTGACAAATAAATAAGTCATAATAACGTCTTTATGACATCATATGACTTCGTAATATTATTATGACGTTTGTATACTACCTGGGTCAACGGCTCTGCTGAATAATTTATAAATATTGGTTTATACCTCTTAAAACCTCTTAAAACTATACGTGAGACAGTCTTATGAAACTGAAAAATCAATTATGAATTCCGGCCTGAATCCGGCTAAGAAATTCCTATTATTATAAATGTTGTCTAACATATATGTTAATAAATAACAGAAGTTCTTTCGTTATCAAATATAATAAAATTTGTGTGCTCTTTGGCAAATTCGAGAAAAAACTAGATAATGATTTTCTTAAATAATAAAATAATAAATACAATAGCGTTATATAAAATTTGTTGTAATATTCAATACAATTCACTGTACTACGAAGTTTCAAACTTAATTCGACTTTTTTGTATATTATTCTTTCTAAAGACTGGATATTACAATAATTGCATTTAAGAAGCATCAGATTTAGATCTTCTTTCTGTGAAGACAATAAATATTGTCCTATAATGCCGGAAAGCATGCTAATATATTGATTTCTGTTGGTATTAATACCTATTTAAAGAGAAATTATTTAAAAGTGTATTCAAATTTGTGTTAAATGTTAGTGGAAATAATTTGTCCTTTTTTTCTCAAATTGATTTCTACAACAATTTTTAGAGTGTAACTGCATTCATACATAGGTATATTATGATGCCTAAACAGAATATGTATAATTTATATTATATTGAAATGAGATATATTTATTTTTACCCAATTTAAATTTCAAAATGTTGCATAGACTTTTGTTGCATAGACATTTCTCGTTGCACAATAACAGAGATATACTCATCGTTACATTTAAATACGAATCAATATTTGTATCAGCTAATCTGCAAGTATAACAAATTATTACATAAATAGGAAAAAATATAATATCTCTGAGCAAAATGACAGTACAAATTTTCTATCTAACAAACATTGTCATTAGATGACTAGATAAAAGAGGAAAATAAAACATAAGTTGATTTTAATTTGCAATGGAAAGCGCTGCACAAACAAGTGCCATATTAACATTTTGCAATAATAAACTGATACATATTTTTAAATGTAGACTATCATAATATATTAATTTAAATATGTCATTTAATAGCAATGTTGTATTCCCACATGTATAATTTAATTTGTTCAGATTTTAATATTTAATATTTATTTGTCTTATTTTCGCGAATTCTCTGATGGTTTTAAAGAGATACGCATTTTTCTCTTTCATTTTACATGATACGAGATGTTCAAAAATTTAAACATTTTTTCTGTTTACTCAAAGAAATTTTTCATTCAAAAAACCTCAAAGATTTTAATTAAAATCTGTAGATATATACAAACACCTTAAGAATACAGTAGATATATACAAACATCTTAAACATCAAAAAGAATATCGTGTATATAACGGAAACAAAGTCATTCACTTCTGTGGCTAAGTGAATTGAAAATGAGTAAAATACCAATTTTTAAGTTTATAAAAAATAATATTAATTAATACGGTGTTAAAAATTATAAGACAAGATATAAGAAACTTTAACATATAAACGGTTTCAAGAGGTTTAATTAACTTCAAAATAATATCAAATTTTATTCAGAATCAGATGTCTGCTGTTCGTTTTCAAGATCTGTTTTTGTGCTTATGATAATAATACACGTGTGGCTTCGATACGTCTATTACATGTTTTTTATCGTAATAGCTATACGAAGAACGACCGACGCATTTATTTAATATACAGCGAGATGAACAAGCAAGAGATTGCAAATTCGGATTGCATAACGTATCAAGATCTTGTACGCTGAAAGCGCACAGGATCAATAGAAATCTTAATTCGCAAAACCCATTTGATAATGACATATTAGTGAAATCTTGAGTGTGTAAGTTAATCTTTCTCAGAAAAATTAGGAAACAGAGAATTTTAATTAGAAATAAATTCCAACAATTTGACGCTAAAACGTCCGCAAAAAACGTCGAAAACATTTATGCAATAAATGCGCGTTAGTTTACGTAATCGCTAAAGGTATGAAAACTTAATATTATTTTTAACATAAAATTATAAAAAGAATTAATTAATATTAGAAAAGAATAATAAAATATTAAAAAAAAAAATGCAGGAAAGCAAACCAAATTAACATAATACGACGAAAGAAAAGTGAATGCCATTATTCTTAGCGACAGATACGCGATGCGAATTCACGTAATCGCTAAGGAAATGAAAATAAGCGATAAAAACACGGAAAATCATTTACACTTTCGTAACAAGAACGTGAGATAATTACACGCATGTTATCGCCTGTACAGTAGAAAACAATTATACAATGTAGTAGATAATGAAAACCTTGAATTACAAACAAGCAAGAATTCGCAATCATTGACCTGTCCAAATAAGTTTTATAAAAATGAGGTGAAGGAGATTCCTCCTTATTAGGTATATTGGCATGGACAACAACGTAAAAAAGTGTTTAGAACATAGAAAATACATATTACAAATTAGATAAAGTTTTGTAAATATATTTCTAGCTAATAAATATTTATTACTTATGACAATGAAATCTTTGTACTTGATTCAGATACATTACATAGTTAAATATGCGCATAGTTAAACATCATTTTTAATTTATACTTGAATCATAAACATGATTGAATGCGCATAATTAAACGTCGAATCGTTCGTATATCAACGTAATATACAATAAAAGATATTTTTACGTAGCGGAATTTGTTTATTTCCAAGGCTAAATAATTAAAAGAATCTGGAATACAATTTCTTTAAAAGTTTACACTTAATATGTATTAATATCATTAAAAATCATAAAATATAAACTAATATATATAAAATTTTTACATATAATAAACAGACTGTTGCACTTAACACGATCATTTAGAACATCTCTATTGTTTTTAATGATACAAAAGAAAAATAAACAAAGGGAAACATTATTCGTTTCGAAGAAGCAAATATTATGATAAGCAACAAAATTTTTCTCATATTTTTTGAGATTTCAATAGCATCATTATTTTTTTAATGAGATGATTACATTAACGTAGTAATGTAGTTTATAAAAAAACAAATTCAACCCTATATTATATCTTGAGATGACCTTAAAAAAACATTTAAAATATCATATTTATATAGAAAAAACCAAGTCAACTAAATGCGTTTTTGAATATAATATTTATTTAATTTTAGATGTTCAAAACGATTACTGTTAACTTCCATAAATTTTCGAATACAACAAATAAATGATTGCCTTGTACTTTTAATAAGTTCCGGGGTGATGACGGCCACTGAATTCTATTTTGTATATTTTCTGGTATTGTGAATATTACAATAAACTTTATTTTTTAAATGTCCTCATAAGAAAAAATTAATTGGCATAATTAAGTCTAGCGATTATGTATCGCCATTTAAAAAAAATGGTGATGATATTGAAATCTAAAAAAATATGATTTTAAGAAAAATTTTTTGCTTATAATATTTGACTCTTTGAAGCGAATACAATTCTTCCCTTTGGTATTTTTTCATGTCATTAAAAGTAACTGAGATATTCTAAATGATCGACAGAAAACATTTTGTATAATTAAGAAATCAGATATAAATATATTCAAAATAATGTCGAATTTTATTCGAAATCAACAGCTGCCTTTTATTTTTAAAATCCACTTTCTTTTATCCTTCGCATTCATTAACTTTTAACAACGCTTTTCACAGCGTTGTTTTTTATGGAAAATTACGTGTGAGATATAGCGCAATTTCGAATAAATTCTAATTAATAAATGAAGTAAAAAGGGCCAACGAGCCAAAGCTTGGGTGTTGTATCGCTCCAAAAAATATATTTATTAATTTCACAATTTCATGACGATTTAAAGAACAAACGTTTCGACCCCGAACGAGTCATTTTCAGTGTTACTATAAATTAGTTAATGCTTAACATAAATTAAAACCATTACAATAACTTGATACGCTCACAATCCGCATTTACATAATCGCATTTACATAATCAAATTCTAATTAATTATACGGCGATTAATACAACCGATAGATTTTGCTTAAATCAAAATGTCACTATATCACATGTAAAAGTATGTAATTTGATATTTTTAATTTAGTTTCTCTCTCCATGTATTAAACAACGAAAGATTAATCATTATATCTATATGTTAACAAATGCTACAGGAAGCTACAGGCTATTGCTCGATAAATTCTTTGCTGCTTATGCATATTTGTTGCACATCTGCGGCAACAATGAAGAATGGTCGAAATATTGGCTAAAGAGGCTGAAGTTTATTTATTTGATTTCAGCGTATTTATCCATGACGATTCAGGTATAATCAGACAATGATCGCTTATTCAACAGCATTGGCTTTGACTAGTCTTCCTTGATAAAAGTCGATTGGCTGAATGTCAGTGAGGTATCGTAAAATTTCGCGCGGCCTTGACGATTCGTACTCGATTATCGTTGTAAGTCTACAACGTTTCTGCATATATATTTGTCTGAGCGCAGCACGTTCATTGCTCACAGTTTCGACTTACCCGTCGCATGTGACAGTTAAACATTTTTAGACTTTAGTAAAATTAGAGCATGTCGCGCTCGCAGATCAAATAACTTATTGCTGTATCTTTCTAATTTTTGACTGCTATTTCAAAGTGTTTTAATTGAATATATATCGGTGAGTACATTAAATACAAAACCTGTGTGAAAAATGAATGTAGAGTGTAAATAACTGAAATGTACAAAGTTCTTATTTTCTACTTTCAAAATTTGCGATTTAAATCGATTAAGTTATTGTCAACATTTCTAATATAAATATTTGTGGCAAATAACTTAATATAATATAATATAATGTAATAAATTTAATATTTGATATAATTTAAGACCAGTGGTACAAAAAATCATAAGTAGCAAAACGTGGGCAATAAAAGTAAATAACATATCAACATTTTTTATTTGTTACTACTTATACCTTACATTTTCTATGGTGTTGACCGATTTGCTTACAGATTTGCTTGCGCCTTACTATTCACTTTTCAATGCCACTAGTCACTGTGAGAATTCTTTACTTGAAAGGTCAGCGAACTTAGAAAATACCTATTATAAAATCTATTAGGTATAATAGAATAAAAAGCGATTGAATTATTGCATTTACATTAAATTTCTGTAGTTGTTTAAACGAACTTTTATTTATTTCAAAAACGTGATAAGATAAAAAAAAGAATATTAAAATGTAATACGCATTTTACATTCATGATCGCATGTTATACGTGCCTATCGTGCGTATACGCATATCGCTTACATATATTTTACATTATGCATACCATTATGTCATAATGTAAATCAATGCAAATCAAATTAACATGTAAAGTATACATTAACTCATTTAGCTTTGTCTTCATATTGCGGAAAGACTACATGATTCCTTTAGTCTTTAAGTATAGGTATGTACATTTTATGTTAAGATATACTTTACATGTTAATTAATTACACGACATGCACGTACACGCGGATACAAACGTGAGAACACGTATTACATTTTTATTTTTTTTTCTGATTTTATTACGTTCATACGAAAAACGTAACAAAAGTTCGTAAAATTATATATAGGTCATATAATTTTATTTGAAAGGACTGACGACGTTAAATTTATTTAAAAATGCAATATATGTAGATTTATCGTATTATCATATTTTTATCCTTAAATTGTAAAACTTTTTTTTATTTGAAACATTAAAAAAAATAATTGATACTTTTAATAAAAATTTAAAATAAATTTCACTCTGTGTAAATTTTTATATATTTTTAAAGTATTTATATGTAGATATATATTGTATATATTAAAGAATAAAATAACATCATTTTTCAATACCAATAACATTCGAATTTTAGTACTTACAAAACAGAATCTCGATTCCTGCCGCCAATTTATTGATGTCAGCAGGCTTTTTCATATTTCTGACGTCAGTTAGACGTTTGCTGACATCAGATGTTAGGTATATTCTGTGTGCAATATGTTGTTTTTCTGCCATCAAGCATTAACGGCATGCTGATCTGCCCAAAATATGTCTCTGAAAACTTGGTTATGTGTGTGTATAACATGAACATAAAAAAATAAAAATTAAAAAGACAAATAATTTTAAATACTTACAAAAATTAAGATGTAAACGGACAAATTTATACAAAGGAAATTAATTTTGAGAAAAATTTAATTCTTAAACTTGACATTGACTCGAATAGTTTAATTTTGGTCGACCAACGATAAGCAATAAACCCTTCTTTAAATCATGATTAACTAAAAAAAAACTTACTTTTTTGCTTTATTAGAAAATTTATGTCGCCACATTCTGATTCAAATATCATTTGTCAATTTTAATCTAGCAAGATCTAGTTTTAATAAGGCGCTTTAAAAATCGCATAATTATATGTTATACTGCTTGATTGCAGTGTCTAGCACCAATAATTTTCGCAGATCAGAATCTAGATGGCCCCTCTTCACTCTTCTTACCCTCGCTACACGATATTCAAGCAATCTACCTTCAAACCTTTACACATATTCCTGTTTTGCATATTAAAATTTCTTAACCAGGCATTGCCAAATAATGATTAGGAAATAGTAAATACAGTTTAGGAATCCAGTTGACCATAGAAATTACGTAGGTATCTTTTATTTGAAAAAAGTGGTTCGAGTTAGTTCCTTTAATTATAACTTGTTTAATGAACCGCTAAGAATATACATATATTGAAAATAATTGCAAAAACACTTGAGAGTAATAATGAATTATTTAGATAATTTGTGAAGAAATAAAAATAATAAAAATTTGATGTCAAAATATATCCAAATAACAGTTCATAGTTTTATTAGCGCAATTGAATAATGAACAATTAAACATTTACTTTTACTTTGTAAAAAGTAAATATTTTAATTATTCAAACATAGATAACAAAACTTTATAACTTCTTTTACACAAGTTTTAAAGAAATTATAAATTTTATAAATTCTAATAAAATTATAATTTAATTATTAAAGATTTAATTGACAAAAATTGAAAATTATTGAACAAAATATTTAACAAATTTGTTTGATATTTACGTTAAGAAAGCATCAAATAATTAATAAATAAACTAATGCTAATTGCATTTATAGGTTTCTTGAAATGTAATGAAGACAGATGCCATAAAACTTATATCAAATAATATTATCGGCACTTACAAGTTATAGTTTACAATCACAAGTATTGACAATATGATAAAAAAATGAAAATGGATATGAAACTTGTTTCCTTCATACTTATGCTTACTGTAGTGTTTCTGGAAGCAAAAATAAATCTCTGGGGAAAATTATCATTTTCTCAGAAAGCAGTACTTAACTATCTGTTTCCTAAGGAACCCGGTATAGTGAGAGTAAGGAAACCAGAAGATATTAGAACAACAAAAAACAATGTTACCACATTGGATTTTGTAAGTACAACAAGATTGTCTTTTAATATTTTGTCTTATTAAAGGCACATTCGAAAAATTAATATCGTGGTTTATATCAGATTAATTATTTATATACAAAAAATCTTCTATATAAGAAAACATTTTACTGTATTAACGATTGTATAATAACTAGTAACAACAGTTATTAGTTAAAGTGTTTTTTGTTCAAGCAACAAAATATTAAATAAAATAATGTTGTCTATAAAAAAATTTTAACTCCATGCTAAATTGAATGGAATGTTAAAAAAAAAAGATTTAAAAATTGTTAGAGAATTACGTGTAAAATGTTATAAGATCATTGCAAAGTTAGGCTTTTTTTTAACATTCCATTTGTCTGCGCAGATCGGTTTAGTAGAGAGATACGGTTATCGCGCCGAGGAGCATTACGTCACAACGGAAGATGGTTACAACTTGGTAATACACAGAATATCAGGAAGTCCTTTATCTAAGAATCAACAGAGGAGAAAAGTAGTGTTCCTTCAACATGGTATCTGGTGCACGTCTGACTGCTGGGTATTGATCGGTGCTGGCAAAGATCTTGGTAAATGTGACCGTTAATACATAATACGTTAGTTCTTAAAAAATATTAAAGTATATTAGGCGGATTTAGAATTATTTCGTCTAACGACATGTATCTTCAAGCAAAACTTTTTATTTTTTTACTTTCTGTTCATTCTAAGTCCATATAAGACCTTTCGTGGCACATAGAACAACGTTATTCCTATGGATGTACGAAAAGTGAAATTATTAAGTACAGTATACAATATTATACAGATTGATGTAAAAATTTAAAGAAATAACAAATAATACTAACAGTGTTATTAGCTAATAGCACAAACCGTGGAATTTTCAATATTTGTAGTCACAGTTCTAATCACGATCTAGCCACAGACCTATACATTCATTCACGCGAGCGCGCGTGTGTATCCATTCAGAGACGAAAATTGAAGTTTATGATCAACACATTCACCTTCACGTCAGTTGATTTCAAGGACCTACAATAAGATCAGTAAAACAATTTAGGTAGTGAAAGTTTCGGCAAATATTTATTGCAAAAAAATACAGATCAAGTGCAATTAGTACGTATATGATATATCTATATATACATTTAGAATAATAGAATTTTTCAGATTACAAAATATACCATATTTTAAAAAACAGATACTGTATATTTAGAATAAATAGAAAATGTTTAATAGAACTTTATATCACGATAAATATGTATCCCAATAAAGAGAAAAATCAATTACATTTTCATTAGAAATTATGGCTATTAGTTAATTGAATAATATAACAAGAAAACTAATTATGTATCATTATATTGTGTTACAGCATTTTTATTGGCTGACCAAGGATACGATGTATGGCTTGGAAATTTTAGGGGAACTGCTTATTCTAGATCACATATAAAAATGTCTCCACGAGATAGAGACTTTTGGCAATTTAGGTAAAATTTTATTTTACAAGTACTATTTTAAAGAAATATGTTTTATTAATTTTAATTTTTTATTATTTTAAATAATTTTAGTTTATACTATTACATTTATCATACTTTTCTATTTCTTCCATTTTGTTTAATTCAAAAATTAGGTTAACTAAAATTTCTAATTAAAATCAATTTTTCTTTAATAAAAAATATGATGCTAATACTGTGCATTATAGATGTATTATATCATGTATAAGTTTCGATATTCTCGTTAAGAAAAAATCGACTCTAATTGAATTTAATAATTTTTAATAATTATTCCGTGGTTTTATATTAGCACTGAAAAAGAATAATAAAAGAGAAAATAAGAACGTATATTTTCATTGTCTAGCCAACACGAGATAGGACTTATAGATGTACCAACTATGATCGATTATGTACTTAATTATACAAAACAAAAAACTCTGCGCTACATCGGTCACTCGATGGGAACCACCATATTTTGTATTTTACTATCTATGAAACCTGAATACAACGCAAAAATAGAATTGGGAATTCTCCTCGCTCCGGTCGTCATGTGGAGAGAATTAGCTCCCCTTTTGGAAACTTCACGTAATATAATACCAAAAATTCAGGTAAAAGAAATATCAAAATTACATTTTAAGAAAAATAAAGATATAATTTTACATATTTTATAAACAGTATTTTAATAAGAGAATAATATTAATAGCAGCTAGCATTATTTTAGTATTATATTTATTGATATATTATATTATAATAGTTAATACAATTATGTACAGGCTATTAAATAACTAATTAATTTAAAAAATATTATGTTATATAATGTTATGTTGTATTTTACATCAAATCTTTTTCTTTTATATTTGACATTTTTTAAATAAAATTTTTATTGTAAATATTATTTATTATTTATTACATTAGCCGTACAAATTAAGTATTTCTTGTATATCTGTATTATAATTGATGCGTTTTAGTAATTGTATATTGATTCTTACTATAGTATTATTTCGTCATTAATTGTACATTTCAGAAGCTGCATGCTGTACATATATATACTTGTTTTGTATTTTTCTCTTTATATTAGAATAAGATTATAACCTGTACAAATTGTATTTATACAATTCTTTTGTGTTTACATTTTTATATTTATGATTATATTTGTTTATCAGGAATATCTTGAGTCTAATGACATACATGAAATAGCTTCCCTGTCGTCAACAAGCATTAGGGTTGGAAGAACACTGTGTAAAGATAAGGCAATTACTCAGCCTATCTGCTTTGCCATATTATTTCTGGTTGCCGGATCCGATCCAGCACAATTTAACACTGTACATTGAATTTCTAATTCAGCACGATTTTGCTAATTCTAACACTGCCATGCACTTCTATTTTATTTTTTAAGGACTAAAAATTACAAAGTAAAATTTATTCCTTATAAATTTATTTTCTACATTTTAATATACAACAAATCAAAATTGTTTCTAATAAAGTCATTCATTGCAGACATCATTACCAGAAATATTATCAAATTACCCGGACGGTAGTTCCGTGAAAACATTACTTCATTATTATCAAAATGCTCTTACAAGTAAGTATTTTCTTCAAATATATAACAATACAAACTATTGCGTTAATTATGAAGAAAGAAATATGCGTATCTAAAATGTTGTTTATTAATATTATACAGGGCCCGCCATCAAAATTCGGACAAATTTAAATTCGAAGTTCCCGTCTCATTTGACTTTATCGGTAGGTCGTTATTGACGTTTGGACAAATCAGATGTTTGTAATAAGCGTGCATAACTTTAAAATGTCGGAGCAGATAAGATTCGAGTGCGGAGTATAACCGAAGAGTGGCAACAATTGAAAGCTTTCGCGCTGAAAGTTTGCAGACCGAAATTATTCGATTTTTTGGGTACCCGAAGAATTGAATATAATTTTGGTCTGCGAACTTCCAGCGCGAAGGCTTTCGATTATTGCCACTCTTCGGTTATACTCCGCACTCGAATCGTATCTGCTCCGACATTTTAAAGTTATGTACGCTTATTACAAACATCTGACTCACTTGCCTAAACGCCAACCTACCGATAAAGTCAAATGAGACGGGAACATCAAATTTAAATTTTTCCGGATTTTGGTGGCGGACTCTGTATTATCAGTTTTTATTTTTACTTTTTTATTATTTTTGTTAATTATATGAAATAACGGCCCCTATAGTACTTCGGTTAATCTCAATCACATTATATTTTATGGTTATCTAAATAAAAATTAAAGGAAGATGTTTAAAAAATCAAAAAGTAATTATAAATATCTAAAAACAGAGGCGTTATTAATGGACACTATTTTAAACCTTACAGCATCTTGTTGAAAGCGTTGTTCTTTGCTTGCCCATCAAGCATGTGAGTGAGATGAATGAAAACCTGAAAATGAGCGTTACCTTGAAATTGAGTGAATAACACGCTTTCAAAGACCGTAATCAAAATTTAAAAGAGTTCCCATTAATAATACTTTTGTTTTTAAATATTATTCTTATTTAAAAATGTTTCTTATCAAGCAAGGTATAAACTATTAGAGATGAGAAGATTTTTATATTTTATCAACAGAAAAACGCGAATTAATATCTACGTTCATAAAGCTTAGCAATAATAATTTACGGTATTCGATGTTTAATAATTTTATATACTGTGATTTTGAAATACATTTATTTTTTCAACAAATTAAAATTTTTTGGAAATCAGAATAAAGTTCTGCAACTCAAAAATTACATAAAAAGAACATACCGCTTTTAAGAGCCAAAACTCGACATTTTGTTTAACATCTTCCTTTGCAAATATCATTTGATTTTAATCTCATATTTATGTAGACAATATTGATTGCTGCAGAGAGATTTCAAGCCTACGACTATGGATATTTCGGCAATTACAAGCAATACAGACAGTTCACGCCCATAATTTATGATCTTAAAAACGTTATTGCACCCTTGGCCTTATTTTACGGCGCTAATGATTTGCTTGCTTTAAAACCGGTAAGGTCACTTTTGTTTTTTACACAAAAACGTCCTTTGATTAAAAAAGATATTGAAAGATAAAGAAATAAAATTTTATAAATTATATGTATTATTCTAATATATTTATAGTAAAAACTTTATCTATTTCGTGAAAACTATAATTGACAATTAATTAAAGATTGAAAATATTCTTTCTTTATAAAGAATTTAAAATTATCTTGAGTTTCTAAACAGACCCGCATGATTTTGTTTTCGTAATATTATACGGAATACTTTCTCTCACTCTCCCCTTCCTTCATTCCCTCTCTAATTTCCCTCTCTCCTTTCGTCTTTTCCTCCGTCTATTGGCCTCTCTCCCCACTCTCACTTTTTTAGTCCATATTATTATTTATATATATGAAAATAATCTTTAAAAATAATTGTTTACATTTCTCAAATTATCTATTATTATTTTATGATTTTTATAGTTTTACTAATTTTATATTCTTGCTTCTAGAATGTCCTTGAGACGTATAGGAACTTGCCGAATGTTATCGTGCTGGAGGAAAATCCATACAAATTATTTAATCATTTGGATTTTTTATGGGCCATCGATGCTAAGACTCTAATATACGATCGTGTGATAGAATTACTTCAGAAGTTCGATAATCAAGCGTGGATAATTGATAATGAATTCTTCTATGTCTGATTCTGATGCTTTCTTTTTAACAAATAATTGAGATGCGGAAACGCCAACGCGATACAAAGCGGATCTTGATGTTTAA